ATAAACACTGAAATGAAGCAAATACAGAGTGACAAAGATATTCTAAGATAAGAACTACTGTACTGGGATGACCAGGAAATATACACATCCATAACCGATGGCATGTGAATGCTCACACACATACCTTCGCAAATGGAACTCTTTTTAAGGCCTGGGAGAGCAGCGCAGGGGTTAAGAGCAGAGCCTCTGAAGACATTGGCAAAGTTCCAGTCAAGGCTGTAGCACTTATTTGCTGTACAAGTGTGAGAAATTACCTAACCTCCCCTAACTCAGTCTTCTCACCTGTAAGTTGAGGTCAAGAATGGAAAGCACCTATTCTTGATATTATGAAAATTAATTGAATTATTATCTGTAAGGCACTTGGAAAAGTAACTGGCATACAATAAGCACTAGGTAAGGCAGTTCTCAAATAAAAGTCTGGTTTACGCTGAGACATCTAGCTTCCCCTCCTAAGTCATCTCCATACCTTTCCCATAAACTTTACTCTCCACCATGTTAAACTACCAGGAAGACATGGTGGATAGGGTAAGACTACAGCTCCTGGAGCCAGACTGGCAGAATTTAAACTCTAGCTCCATAATTTCCTAACTATCAGATCTGCGTGTGTGTGTGTGTGTGTGTGTGTGTGTGTGAGAGAGAGAGAGAGAGAGAGAGAGAGAGAGAGAGAGAGAGAGAGACAAGAGTCTTGCTCTATGGCCCAGGCTGGAGTACAATGGCGCAATGTTGGCTCACTCCAACCTCTGCCTCCTGGGTTCAATCAAATTCCCCTGCCTCAGCCTCCAGAGTAGCTGTGCTACCACGCCCAGCTAATTGTTTTTTATTTTTAGTATAGGCGGGGTTTCACCACATTGGCCAGGCTGGTCTCAAACTCCTAACCTCATGTGATTCACCCTTCTCTGCCTAGCAAGTGCTGGGATTACAGGTGTGAGCCACCACGTTAGGGCCTAATTATCAGATCTTGAGCCACTAACATCACCTCTTGGTAACTGAGAGCCTTCATCTATAAAAAAGGATGATAGTAACTAACTCAGGCTAAGGCATTAACTGAATCAACAATGAAACACATTTAGAACTGAATTTGGTATCTAGTAAGCGCTCAGTTAGTGTCAGCTACTTTTAGCTTTTATTACCTGCTATTACCTAAATGTAGCAGGTGCTCTCACCTCCCTACCCTTCATTTGTTTCCAACCACTGGATTGGATCTTTCTTCTTCCCCATCCATTCCTTCTGAAATACTAGCACTTTTCAGACTTCCTTCACCTCCTCAGAAATGGGCTTTTCCCCTACTGTTCCCACAAACCTCTTAGTAGGGCATTTCCATTGAGAACTTAGTCCCCCGGAATTGTTTTCTTCAACACCGAAATGGAGTCCAATTCATTTTATTTATTTTTGTTTTTGAGACAGGATCTCACTCTGTTGCCCAAGCTGGAATACAGTGGCGCTATCTCAGCTCACTGCAACCTCTGCCTTCTGGTCTCAATTGATCCTTCTGCCTCAGCCTCCCAAGTAGCTGGGACCACAGATGCATGCCACCATGCCCAGCTAGCAATTCATTTTAGTATCCTAAGTTTAGACCCATATGCAACATTGGAAAGAGCACAATACACAATAAATGAATCAATGATCACAGCAACAACTCATCCAAGAATGTAAAGTCAATATTAAGTGTACTAGTCCTACAGATCAAATTTTCATTATTATTAATGCTTTAATATGTCCCAAAATTTCCATATTTTAGTTCTAGGCTAATTTCACCCAAATTATTGGCTTGTGTTCAGTTTTACCCTAGAACTTACCTCAGGTTTGAACTCAAGGGAGCATATTCTAGCTTTTAGTAGGTTCATATAGTTTAGTTACATCATTCTTAATAAATAAATTTCACTACTGACAAAGAAGAAAGCTCCCCTTTAACTAAAAAAAGGGCAGAAGAGAAGAAAAGCGTGACTTCTCAATTACCTCCTTTCAAAAATTGTTTTATTGGCTGGGCTTGGTGGCTCACACCTGTAATCCCAGCACTTTGTGAGGCTGAGGCAGGTGGATCATGATGTCAAGAGATCGAGACCATCCTGGCCAACATGGTAAAATCCCGTCTCTACTAAAAACACAAATATTATCTGGGCATGGTGGCGCAAGCCTGTTCCCAGCTACTCAGGAGGCAGAGGCAAGAGAATTGCTTGAACTCAGAAGGTAGAGGCTGCAGTGAGCCAAAACTGCCCCACTGCCCTCCAGCCTGGCGACGGAGCAGAGAATGTGAATCCTACCCGTATGGCTTTACGTTCAGCTGGCAACATGGAATAGCTATGCTCCAGGGAAAAAGCAAGGAGCACAGCCTTTAACTCAGGCTGCCTGGTGCCAACAGAATCAACTGATAAAGGTGATGACCAAAGGCAGCTCAAAGAAGCTGCTGGTCTTATTCCAAGAATAAGTTAGACCAGCAGCTTCTTTGAGGCACCTTTTAAGGCCACATTTACTGCACTGCCATTGAGTTATAATGAGTGACATGATAAGAAACGGCATTTTGTAAGTCACAGATATATATCTATGGTGATCAGGTAGTTTCAAATGCAGTTCACCCACAGCATATTAAAGAAACTGCTCTCAGAGAGCAATATAAGACTTCTCTCCCAAGTAAATAACCGCACTGATCACTTCCTTTTTGCTTTGGCTGGGAGAAAATGCAGTCACCTCTTGTAAGCACATAATTTTCCACTAACTTTAGCCCTGGCTTCATCTTACCTTCCCATCTACTCGGACTTGACTTTAGTCCTGGCTTCATCTTACCTTCCCCTCTACTCGGACTTGATTTTTATATATCCTGTTGGATTGCAAATATAAGTATATATGAAGTGAGCTTTCAAAAATCCCAGAAAGAGGTGAGTGCAAATGAAGACATGAAAACACAGCTCCCAAGAAGTAAAAATGAACGTTTCATTTTCCCTCACTTGTTACTTAGCTCAAAATCAACTGCCCATGATATATGACACTTCTACTATTATGTAGAAATATAACCAAAAAGTTGAAACAACTTCCATAACACTTATTTTACTTTTTTTTTTTTTTTTTTTTAAAAACAGGGTCTCACTCTGTTGCCCAGACTGGAGTGCAATGGCATGATCTCGGCTCACGGCAATCTCCGCCTCCTGGGTTCAAGTTATGTTTCTGCCTCAGCATCCTGAGTAGCTGGGATTACAGGTGCCCACCATCACGCCTGGCCAACGTTTTTTGTATTTTTAGTAGAGACAGGGTTTTGCTACATTGGCCAGGCTGGTCTCAAACTCCTGAACTCAGTTGATCTGCCTGCCCCAGCCTCCCAGAGTGCTGGAATTACAGGCATGAGCCACTGTACCAGGTCACTTATTTTACTTATTATTACTCAAGTCTTATACTCCATTTCTATGCCCACGTCTCAATTTATGTTCCTCAATTATTTTACCTCCAAATAAAGTAAAATTATTTACATCACCTGCAAATACAAAACTTTAACAGTAACAAACGGGTACCTCGTCCCACCTACTTTAGGGAATTCATACCAAGCCTTGTACTTTGGTTGCATGCAAATTTAGTGCAAAGAAAAGGTCAAGGCCTATTGGACTTGAAAGAGTTAAGCTGAAGGATTCAAATTTGAATCCTAGTGATGCTTAGAGAAACTGCTGAAAACAGTTATAGATAGATATGTATACACACACAAACACCTGTGTGTTCATATGCACACATACATAAGCCCATAGACCCAGAGTACTTTCCTAAGGATGGAACTCGGAGTAATTACAGAAAAGAGAAAAGCCACTTAGGCCACAGAGTGTAAAAACATGAAGAAGCCTACAGATTTGGGGAGCCTGGAGAGACTTAAGTCATAGAACAGCATTTAAATATATTTGTCTGCTTACAATTTCCATTGCAAATGTGATTAGTTTGCTTGAATAAATAGGAATATGATGTGTTGGTCATGTTTTCCTCTTGAGGGTTATCACAGAGTTTTGATTAAGGACAAATGTTTGAAATGTTAGGTATATTTAAGTTCACTGCACTTAAAATGAGCTAAGAAGTTGTATAGGCTTGATTAGAGGGCTGCCTTCGTGAACTTAAATTAAAAGCAATAAATTCCAAATGATTCAAGTGATTGGGACTAAATATGGTATTCTGCCCAAGAAGTTGAAATGCAGTCCAAAGAAACTGAAATGGTGTCCAGGTTTCAAGAAATGGTGAAAGAGGAAAGGTCAAGTGTTGGAGTTGCCTTTCCTCTGGGTTAGTGAATGATTCACATTACACAGAATCCCTTTCAAGTACAACTTCACAGGAGTGACAGGCTCCCAGGACAACGTGTTTCATCGTTTCCAAAAAGAAGCCTCTCAAATGCTCCGAGGCGGGCATCTAAGTGTTGTCAGATGGCGAGAGGGAGGGGGAAGATGGGAATGATGGGAGAGCGGGGAGGAAGAGAGACCCTGGACTTTTTATTCACAAAGACGCAGGCCAAGTCTCCCAGCCAGTTTCCAAACGGAAGTCAAAGTGACTTCCCCACCCGCGGGAGGGCGGAGCCCTTGTAACGTAATAGGATCAGGCTTCAGCCCGGGCTGTGGCCTGGGTGAGGAGAAGCCTGAGTCAACAAGCACCGGGGTGAGAAGCAGGAGCTCGCTGGGGAGGTCGAGAGGACCGCCAGAGCTTCCCTGCCCGGGGTGCACCAAGCCCCAATCGCATTCACTCCTCCTCGCCCGCCCTGGTTCAGCCCCATCAGGCACCACCAACTCCCGCCCCGGGCCAAGTGGGAGTGTCCGGCCCGCAAAGTTTCCAATCCGAGGTCGGGCCTCGGTCTCCGCACCGTCCGCCAGTGCTGCCCCGGAGGAGTGGCCCCCTCCCTTCTGCAGCTGCAAGGTGGAACGGCTGCCCGGCACCCTATTCTGCTTCCCCTGTGGCACCAACTCAGGCACGTGAGCGCCCGAACCTCTCGCGCCCCCAGGTTGATCCGGCCAGCGCGCTCCCCTCGGCCTCGCGCCCGCGTTTACCTTAGCGGCAGCCATACTTCGCCCCGGGTGCTTTCGGCTGCGGGACCCACTCACTGGCTGGCTGGCGCTCGGGGCCCAGGCGGCTCACTTCCAGTCCCGGCTGCGGCGGGGCGGCGACACGGCCAGACAGCGTGCGCGCCTGGCCTGCCTCCCCACGCCCTCCCGCCGGCGCGGGTCATGCGAGCGCCGCCAGCCCATTGGCTGGGCCCAGCCTTGGCCGCCCGGGTGCGCGTGATCCAGCGGCCTCTGCCCTGCGGCCGGGGAGGGCTCAAGGCCTGGGGCAGTGGCGGGACAGGGACACGTGACCCCCGCTGCGCTGTCCAGCAGCGGCGGCCTCTGAGGCGTGGGCCAAGGTACCTTGGCCGCGTGCAAGCCTGTCAGCGGAGGGCAGGTGGCCCCACCAAGGAAGCTGCTGGCTTCTGCTGATACCAGGGTCAACTGGGCCCTCAGGCCGATGGGAGGGGCAAGTAACTATAGACGGTGCACACACGTTCTGGAGAAGTTGAGAACTCCACTAGGACACCTGCTTAACCGGGTGTTTTTTGTTTTCATTTTCCCCCTGTGTGTTCTCTTTGAAGGGGCTCCACTTTACACTGGATCCAAAAAGCTTGATCCAAAAGCATTGACTTAGAATGAGAGATTGTAAGTATTGCTGGCAGGCCTACTTTTAGATCAAAATCGGTAAACTCTAAGAACCCAACAAATGAATGTAGTGCAGAACATATATTTATGGGACTACTTCATTTCAGCCCTACCTGTTAAAACAGTACAGGTCAACAGCCTGACGAAGAAGCCTGTCTCACTAAAAATACAAAATTAGCCTGGCATGGTGGTACATGCCTGTAATCCCAGCTATGCAGCAGGCTGAGGTAGGAGAATCGCTTGAGCTCGGAAGGCAGAGGCTAAGGTGAGCCGAGATCACGCCATTGCACTCCAGCGTGGGCAGCAAGAGCGAAACTCTGTCTTAAAAAAAAAAGTACAGGTCATAAGGGCTGGGATCAAAAGACAAAAGACTTACCCCCTACTAAAAATCAGAATTTTAATTGAAAATTTGCTTATATGACCTCCAGGCCTTATCCCTCTTCGTCAGGATTTCATTCATTTGTCCTTGTAATCAAAATTTATAAGACAATGGTGATCAGGGAAAAGGACTTTAAATGTGTTGTAGGTTGTGGATGTAATATGTCAGCAAAAAGCACTTATTACTAATCAGTTTAATTCATTAACATTGATTGCCAGCCTACTATGTGCTAGGCCCTGTGCTTGGTGCTGGAAACCCCAAAATGATTTAAGAGCTGGTCCCAACTCTAAAAGAGCTTCAGGGCTATTGGGGAAGAGTCACATAAATGTTTACTTCATATAACCTGTTAAGGCAATGTATTGTTTCCAGGGCACAATGAGAATACTGAGTACAAGGGAAGCCTCCTAGAGGTGATGCCTAAGCTGAGTGCAGAAAAGTGACTGTGTCCAGTGGGGAGGAAAAGGACACAGTATTCCATCCTGAGAAAATGAGGAGAGGCAGGAGGCTCAGGAGTTGCTGAAGAACCACAAGTGGTCAGTCATGAAAGATGTATTAGTTCTCACACTGCTATGAAGAAAGACCTGAGACTATGTATTTTATAAAGAAAAAGATTTAATTGACTAACAGTTTCACATTGCTTGGGAGGCTCGGGAAATTTACAATCATGGTGGAAGGCACCTCTTCACAGGGCTGCAGGAGTGAGAATGAGTGCCAAGCAAAGGGGGAAAAGCCCCTTATAAAACCATCAGCCCTCATAAGAACTCACTATCACAAGAACAGCATGGGGGTAACCACCCCCATGATTCAGTTATCTCTCACCAGGTCCTGCCCATGACACGTGGGGATTATGGGAACTACAATTTAAGATGAGATTTGGGTGGTGACACAGCCAAATCATATCAAAAGGTAACTTAAGCTTGAGCTATGGGACTGCTGGAAGGAGTCTGGGCCAGCAGACAAGGGCTGTGTCATGGTGGGTCTTAGGTGCCTTGCTGAAGGCTGTGTACCTTAACTGAAGGGTTTTAAGTCAGGAAGCAGCATGGCTAGGTTTTCAATATAGAAAGATCTCTCTATAGTCTGAATGTGCCCCCCACCAAATTGATGTGTTGGAAACAATCTCTAATGTATCAGTGCTGGAAGTTTGGGTTCTTCGGGAGGTATTCTCGTCACAAGGGCTCTGCCCTCATGAATGGATTGATGCTGCCATAAAAAGAGATTTAGGGAGTGGGTCACTCTCTCTTGCTCTTCTGCTCTTTTGCCATATAAAGACATAGGATTTCTCACCACTGAAGGACACAACATTCAAAGAGCCATCTTGAAAGCAGAGAGACCAGGCCATAACCTGCCAGCACCTTGATCTTGGACTTCCTAGCCTTCAGAACTGTGAGAAATACATTTCTGTTCTGTTATTTTATTCTCAGGAATTCCCTTACAGCAACACAAAATGGGCTAAAACACTCTGCTTGCTGTATGGAGGATGGGTCCCAACTGAACTACAAGGATATACAGTTGAGACAGGCTGGGGAGGGAGTAAGACTAGAGGAATACATAGAAGGTAAAATTAGTGGGCCATCATGACTGCTTATACGTGGGGTTGGGAGGGAATAAGGGAGTTGTCCCATATTGCACATAGACTTGTGGTATGGGTATCTGGAGAAGTACTTGAGATAGGTAATACAAGAGGAATGTTTTGAGATGTGTGTGTCTGTCTGTAAGGAGAGTGTATGTGCAACATACAAATTATGCTCTAGAAGCCAAAGAAAGAAGCATTACAGAAAGAAGCAACTAATCTACTCTCAAGAGGTTCGACAAAGCCCAGAAGACTTGAACATTATCATAGACAGAGAAGAAAGATCAGCAAAAAGTAAAAGAATAAAGATAAAACAAAACCAGCAGAATTGTTAGAGAAAACTATGACAAGGAGACAAGTCTAACACTCCTGTGGAGGGTGGCCCCAGCTGCTACAAGGGGAGTTAAAAGGCACTGAGAAAATACCACCTTGTGTAAAGAATAAAATCACATCATGTACCACATATTTTTTCTTAAGGGCATCACTAAAGCTCTCCTTTTATAATATAAATGAACCACAAAATTTTAATGTAGTAAAACATACATGAAATGTACCATCTCGACCATTTTTAAATGTACCGTTTAGTAGTGAGATACATTCACATTGTACAGCCAATCTCCAGAACTCTTTTCATCTTGCAAAACTGAAACTCTGCACTTGTTAAACAACCACTCCTTTTTCTCCATCTCCCAAGCCCCCAACAACCACCATTCTACTTTTTGCTTCTACAAATCTGACTACCCTAAGTACCTGATAAATGGAATCATATGGTGTTTGTCTTTTTGTAGCATAATGTCCTCAAGGTTCATACATGTTATAGTGTGTGTCAGAATTTCCCTCCTCTTTAAGGTTGAATAATATTCCATTAACTTTTTTTGATAGAAAAAGAATCAGGGCCCATTATATTTTTTCTTAAATTTTTTGAAAATGCAGAAAATGATAGTAATGGCCAAAAGAATCACTGATAATCCTATCAAGAGAGTTAGCCATTATCAACATTCTACTGTATTTTTTTCATGTATTGCTGTGTTTATGTGTATATATTGAGACATATTTATTTTACTTTATATTTTGTTTCTGTATTTCTTGAGCCAGGGTCTCATTCTGTCTTACAGGCTGGAGTGCAATGGCATCATCTCAGCTCATTGCAACCTCCTACTCTTGGGATCAAGGGATCCTCTCACCTCAGCCTCCCAAGTAGCTGGAACCACAGACTACTTGGGAGGCTGAGGTGAGAGGATCCCTTTATACTGCCACACCCATCTAAATTTACATTTTTTGGTAGAGATGGGGTTTTGCCGTGTTGCCCAGGCTGGTTGCAGAGTCCTGCGTTCAAGCAATCCTCCTGCCTCAGCTTCCTAAAATGCTGGAACTACAAGCATGAGTCACCGTGCCTGGCCTATTTTATTTTATTACTTATTTTAAAGACTCTTCCAGGTTGGAGTGAACTAGCGCGATCTCAGCTCACTGCAGCCTTGACCCCTGGGGCTCAATCGATCCTCCCATTTCAGTCGCCCGAGTACCTGGGACCACAGGCACACACCACCACACCCAGCTAAGTTTTGTATCTTTTGGTAGAAATGGGGTTTCGCCAGACTGCCCAGCCTCATCTTGAACTACTGCACTCAAACGATCCACCCACCTTGGCCACCCAAAGTGCCAAAATCTTAGGCATAAACCACCCACCTGACCATATTTTTGCATTTAAAACAATGAATTATACTCTGTGTTCGTTTCCTGTGGCTGCCATAACAAATTACCACAAACTTGAGAGCTTAAAACAATAGAAATTTGTTCTCTTACCATTATGAAGGCAAGATGTCCGCAGTGAGTCTTGTGGGGCTAAAATCAAGGTGTCAGCAGGACTGTGCTCTCTCAGAGGCTTTACGGGAGAATGTTTCGTCGTCTTATGTAAGGGCTCATGACACTTCCCAGGGTGGAGTGCAGTGGCGTGATCTCTGCTCACTGCAACCTCCACCTCCCAGGTTGAAGCGATTCTCCTGACTCAGCCTCCTGAGTTCCTGGGACTACAGGCGTGTGCCACCACACCTGGATAATTTTTGTATTTTTAGTAGAGACAGGTTTCACTGTGTTTTCACTGTGAAGTCCCAAAGTGCTGGGACTACAGGCTTGAGCCACTGTGTCCACCCTCTACCTCCTTTTTATAAGGATTGCATTTAGAGCCAACTTAGATAATCCAAAGTGCTCTCTCCACCTCCAGATCCTTAATTTAATCACAGCAGCCAAGTCTGTGTCACATACAGTACCATTCAAAATCTCTTAGGGATTAGGATCAGGATATGAACATATTTAGGGGGCTCTCATTCAGGCTACCAAACCTACCACACTATGGATATATATTGTAAAAGTGTATTTCAATTTACATTTGGAGTCATACTTAGTTGATTAAGCTCCCTCTTCATTATAGAATTTCCCAAAATATGAAATTTTAAAAATGTTAAACTGTCATGAACCTAGAAATAAAGAAGTCAAAGGTGCACCGTGGCTTCTATTTCACCTGTAAATAATAGCATGATGTGAAACATCATCTAAGAAGATAAAGTATGAACTAGCTGGGCATCTTCCATTTTGTCTTATCCTGACAGCTTTACATGCCACCCTGAATTCTGACTGAAAAGGCCCTGTTATGG